AACATAAGCAAGAGTGTCTTAATGCTATTTTTAATCTTATCATTGAGGCACAACTTCTATTTTCATTTGTTAGAAATCATTAGTTTTGTGAAGCAGTAGATATTTATGATTCAAGATATAAGTTGCCATCAATTAAATATATAAAAAATATGACAATAACTCAGTTTGAAACTTGTCATATATATATTGCAAATAAACTTGAAAAGTTACTAGCAAAGTTGCACTTATTACTGATATTTGGACATCAAGTTCAAATCAAGCATATCTTGAAATTACTATACATTATATAGATGATAAATAGAAAATGCAACATTTTTTGCTTGATATACTTTATTTTGAATATAATCATAGTGCAGAATGTATAAAAGAAAAGCTTAATAACATTTGTAAAAAAATGAAAATTACTGGTAAGGTGATTTCATTAATAACAGACAATGCTTCTGCAATGGTTGCTTGTGGAAAACTTCTTAAAAATGAATGAAGTATATTTGAATTTTATCATCATCGTTATGCTGTTCATATTTTTAATATTGTAGTTAAAAATGGTATACAATTTTGGTATACAATAATTAACAAAGTTCGAAAATTTGTAAATAAAGTTCGAGATTCAACAATTTTATATGATAAGCTTCAAGATTTTTGTAATATAAATAGAAAAAATTATAATACATTAATCAATGATGTAATAATATGTTGGAATAGCACTTACCATATGCTTTGTCGATTCAAAGATATGCGTGATGAACTTAATCTTCTTAAAATTGCATATTGTGAACTTGATAACAATTATCCAAATGAAGCAAAATGGGAAAGTATTAATAATATAATCTATTTGCTAGAACTGATACTTGTTGCAACAGAAGTTCTCTCAACAAGTTCATATCCAACTATTGCTGATGTTTGTCTAACTTTTATGGAAATTATTTGCCATATAGAACTCTTTATAGCTAATAAATCATATTCAGAAAATGAGCATATGATAGCTCGTTTAATTAAAAATAAATTAGACAATTATTGGTCTATTCTTAATTCTGATGAATCGACAAAAATAGCTTTAATTCTTGATCCAACATTTAAGCTAATAACATTCCAATCAGATATTAAGAAAAAAAATATACTTACTAGTTTACAAAATATAATAATTCAGTACAAATCATCAGTTCTAGCAACAAATACTGCTTCTACATCTACATCAGTATTTGATAATAAAAGAAGAAGATTTATCTTATTAATTTCATAGCAAGCAATTGAACTACCATTAGCAGAAGAGTTGGATATCACAAAAGAGTTAAATACATATTTGTTTGTATCATCTATTGATAATGGTTCTCTTCAATGGTGGGCCGCTAATAGAATTAACTTTTCAACACTTGCAAAAATGGCACAAGATTATCTTGCAATTCAAGAAACAAGTGTTCCTTGTGAAAAAGTATTTTCTTTAGCATCAGAAACAATTTTTAAAGTTCGTAATCGTCTTAAACCTAATACTGTTCGTGCATCACTTTGCTTAAAAAGTTGGATGGAAAACAATGTTAGTATATAAAAAAATAATTAGTTTTA